ATATATATATATATATATATGTAGATGTCTCTGGAAGGAAACACTAACAAAAAAGTTAATAGCGGAGGCTGTCAAGAGGGACAAAAGAAGAGGACTTATTTCCACTTAGAGACTTATTCTTGCTGTTTGTTTGGTTGATTATTATTTTTTAATGTTTATTCTTGAGGGAGAGAGAGAGAGAGCACGAGCAGGGGAGGGGCCACCCAGGTGCCCCTATTGTTGCTGTTTGTAAATCTTTTTTGAACCTTTTCAATTTAGAAGCATGGTCACATAATAACCGTTCAAATATACACATATTTTTTTTTTAATCTAGGAGAAGTAGGATATTGGCAAGAAGCTGGGTGCCACCATACAAGGCAGTCCATGCCAAGTGCCAGATGAGTGATAGAGACAGACAGTAGGTGCTGGGAGAATCTAGAGAAGGGGGAGCTTCCCAGGGCTGGCTGGTTCTGGGTGACCGTGACCTAAGCTGGAAGGAATGGCAACACAGAGACAAGCAGGGGGAGGTGGCGTTCCAAAAGGAGGGGATGGTGAGAAAGCAGCTTTGGAGGCAGGCATATTCCTGACACACCAGAGATGAAGGAATAAATGCGTTGGGTGGAATCCAAGTTGGGAATCTGTCTTTGTGTCTGCCTGCAGGAGGTAATTGCACCCTGCCTTTAGAAGCATCAGGGATGAAAGCATTCCCTGTACTGAGGGAGTCCCCAGGAGCCTGGGTGGCGCTCCCAGCTGCCCCATGGAGGTCTGGGTTGCCACCTCCCCGCACCCACGCCCAGTCCAACCTAGGCCTGCCGGTGCCTGCCAGCAGAGTTACTAGCTGGGAGGCCTTGCAGGGTTTGAGAGGAGACGGCCACACAGCTGCCCAGGGCGGGCGGGCTGCTACAGCAGACAAGAAGGGCGCCTGGCCGCTTCTCTGGATGCCCAGCAATCCTGGCTGGTGAACACCTCACATCCTTCTGGCTTCTCCCAAGCCCTCACCTCACACCCTACGAAATGTTGGAAGCAGGGGCCCTTTCCAGATGGCACCGACAGCCCCCAA